CTTTGTGGTGAAATGGTGGTATCCAGCAGAGAACTTCTTGGAGCAGGGGATCTACCAAACCTTGCTTGATGGTGAGATGAGGATTTGGGTATTGCTCTTGAGAGAACACCCTGCCCTTCCCTAGAGGACAGAAGGGGGTAGGTAAACCTTGTAAGTGCTGATGACAGAATGCCTGTTAGCACCCCTCATTCTATCTGTCATTATATTTCAAAGAGTTGACAACAATAGAGTGAAACTGACTTCTTTCCAAATTAGCCATTCCAAACTAATAATAATTAATTAAATTCTTTGACAGTTGAATTATTTTGTCCTGAACTATCTAGACTTTTCAACACTGATCTGATGTCTATACAAATTTGTTTCCTTTTAAACAATCTTAGCTTTCTCCTTTTCTCTTTCCTGCTTTGTCTACTTTTATAATATGCTCAAATAAGATATGAAACACTACAAAATAAGGTGTGATAAATTCCTGTTAGAAGACTGTATGAGATTAAACAAAAGAACAAAAATGTTGAAGGTAGGGTTTTGGCAATGTATGTTCTTGTCTGACAATACAGGACAAAATATTTGGCTCCAGTTTCTGGAAGTTATTATCTGGAAAGTGATTCGAAAGGTGATTCACTGAAGCTACCTTTTCAATTCTGGTCTGAGTATTCCCATCTTGACATGAAACCTGGGTCACTTGGGCAAGTCCCTTTAGCCCCTTTAGGAGATTGCCTTACACAGTCCTAACCTTAGAATAACCTTAGGATAACCTTAGGAATGGGACATTAAAGAAATCAAAACCCCCACATACTATCAGCTCCATAAAACCAACACTCTCCAAAGATATCAAATGATAAGACATTCCTGTGGTTAATAAGTCCCAGCTGTGCAAATCACAGGACTTGAATGAAAGAAATGGGCACAGAGTGGAACACCTTGGACTTGGGACTCTGTAAATTGGGGCTATGTCCCCAAACGTGTCCCCTGCCTCTCTAGGTAACTGAGGAACTTTGTTCATCTCAGTTTACTGCTCGGAAAAGCCAGATGATAATAGCCGCTTGGGTTCACAATCAGTTTCTAAAAAGAATCCTTGAAAAAACATGCATCTCAGAGGAAGAGTCTGTATGTATTTATATGTGCCCTCATAGAACAATATTAATTCATACTTTGGTATTTTCTCAATATGTTACCATCCTTAATGAAATATTTTTATGGCTAGAGTTATCACTTACAAGTGCTGTTTGTAACATACAGTGATCACTGAAGAAGTGATCTGACTTAAGCATGCTTTGTTGCAAAGATACTTGAACTGGATCTAATTGAATCAAGAGTGAAGTGGAGATTATGGCCACATGTTTGATCAGGAATCTTGGGTTCCCTGGTCAGTGTTAATCTTCCTCTACGTGTTTACACTTCATGGTTATGAACCTGGAGACAAAGGTTCTTTGTTAAGGAGAAAACCCACACCTAGTTATAAAAGGTTATTTAGCAAGTTAGTGGGTCATTAATTGGAGGAAATAACAAGGTTTCCGTCACCACAGATTTTTTTTTTTTTAAATTTAAAGCCTACCAAAAAAAAAAAAATGTAAGAGTTGTAACATGAGGACATCCTTCAGCAAGATTCACCAATTATCAACTGAGGCACCTGAGAGTCAATCTCAGACAGGAAGGTATCTCGGCCCTATTGCTTTGACATTCATCTCCTAAAGTATTGCCCGTACCATCATCACACCTATGAAAATTAACATCAATTCAATAATATCAACTATATGTGGTCTGTGTTTACAATTCTTTAATTGTCCCCAATGCAGGGATCGCATCTTTCTTTCCAACCTAGGACCCAGTTGAGGGTAACACATTACGTTTGGTTGTGACATGTATTTTGTCTCTTAATCCCAGGCTGAATGAATATCCTAATCCCTAATAGCATTTCACCTAGGCAGAGGCTTTAACCCACTGAGCCACCCAGGTGCCCCGGTGCAGCCACTTTAGAAGACAGTTTAGCAATGTCTTACAAAACTAAACATACTCCTACCATACGATCCAGCTATCACAGTACTCAGTATTTATCCAAGTGAAAAGTTATAAAAATCTGCACATAAAAGCCACATAAAAATCTGCACATGGATGATTATAGCAGCTTTATTTTTAATTGCCAAAACTTGAAAGCAACCAAGATGTCCTTCAGTAGGTGAATGGATAATTAAACTCTAGTGCATCCAGACAACTGAGTATTATTTAGCACTAATAAGAAATGAGCTATCAAGCCATGAAAAGACATAGAAAAACTTCGATGTCATACTGGTAAATGAAAGAAGCCAATCTGAAGACTACGTACCGTATGATCCCAACTATATGATATACTGAAAATGGCAAAACTATGGAGACAGTACAATGATCAGTGGCTGCTGAGAGGGGGGCGGGTGGTGCTGAGTAGACAACACAGAAGAATTTTAGGGCAATAAAAATACTCTGTATGAGGAGCACCTGGGTGGCTCAGTCAGTTAAGCGTCCAATGCTGGATTTCAGCTCTGGTCACGATCTCAGGGATGTGAGATGGAGCCCTGCATCAGGATCTGTGCTGGGCATGACGCCTGCTTAAGATTCTCTTTCCCTCTCTCTCTCTCCTTCTTCTCCTTACCACATCCCCTCCTTTTCTAAAAATATACTCCATATGTTACATTGATTCATACATGTCATTATACATTTGTCCAAAGCCACAGGATATAAAACACCAAGAGTGAACCCTAAGGTACACTATGAACTGTGGGTGATAAGGCTTTAAGTTCATCATTTGAAATAAATATAGCCTCTGGAGGAACAAGTTGATAATGAAGGAGGCTAAGCATGTTGGAGATTTTATGGGCTCTCTCTGTACCTTCCTCTCAATGTTGTGAACCCAAAATTACTCTAATAAATAGCTTTTTTTAAAAAATTAGCAAAATAGGGGCACTTGGGTGGCTCAGTAGGTTAAAGCCTCTGCCTTCGGCTCAGGTCATGATCCCAGGGTCCTGGGATCGAACCCTGCATCAGGCTCTCTGCTCTGCAGGGAGCCTGCTTCCCTTCCTCTCTCTCTCTCTGCCTGCCTCTCTGCCTACTTGTGACCTCTGTCTGTCAAATAAATAAGTGAAATCTTTAAAAAAATAAATAAAGTGGCTGCACCATTCTGCATTCCCATGATGAATGAATGGAAGTTCCTATACTTCCACAGCCTTGCCAACATTTGGTGTTGCCAGTGTTCTGGATTTTCACCATTCTCATAGGTATGTAGTAGTATCTCATTATTGTCCTAATTTGTATTTTCCTGATGACATATGATGTGCAGCATCTTTCATGTGCTTATTTGCAATGTGTATATCTTCTTTGGTAAGATGTCTGTTAAGGTCTTTGGAACATTTTTTCATCAGTTTGTTGTCTTATTGTTGAGTTTTCAAGAATTTTTGTGTATTTTGGAGCACAGTACTTTAATATATGTTTGCCTATAAATATATACATATATGTATTTTGTCTTTTGTAGTGAAAGTGAAATATAGATAAAACTTTGAAAATTTGGCCACTATTATGCCACCATAAATGAACCCAATTGTTCCAGAGAATATGGAAGAGAAAGCTTGTGCTTTCCCTTAGGTATAAGAGGAGCATAAATTTTATTGTACTTATGGCTGTATAAAAATTTTTTCCCATTGCATTCTAACCTCATTAAGATTTACAGAAGCAGAAGGAAGTGCAGGCTGCACTATGGGGTATTTAGGTCAGGTCTAAAGAAGAATTATTCAAATTGATCTTTATTTAGTGGTCCCTAAACAGTACAGTGGTTACCAAAAGAGGTACCCTCCTGGGATTTGCAATTACCACATTAAGCAGCTGCTGTGTGGATGGCGAGAGAAAGTGAATGTTGATCATTGAAGAGCCACTCTTACATCTCTTATGGAAGGCTCATATGACCATGGAGAAGTTCTTTGCATTAGTCTGCCCATAAATAACACCGCACAGTTCAGTCTGAAATTTCAAATTGACCCCACTCAAACCCTTCTGCAGCTGGAACAGTAATTATAATCCTGGCAGGTCTCAGAGTTCTCTTTGTTTTTCACTCTGAGCCCAGAACACCCACTACTCTAGGACAGAAATTCAAGGCTCTGGAGTCAGTTCAGCTCTGCTTTCATCCCTGGGACAGCAAGCCTACCATGCATCCAAGACAAGACAGAGTGAACACCCTCCTCTCAGTGGGGACAAAAGGGCAGCAGAACTTCTGGACCAAGAATCAATAGTCAGGTTGGTACCCTCACTCCTCAAGCCACAGCCTGCAGAGTGAGAGACAGGAAGGGAACAGGATGAATGGACCGTAGAGCCAGGCTGGGGAAGGGAAGGGAAGGGAAGGGACAGCCGACCCTTTTTAGTAGGAGCTCTCCTGACCTATTAGCTGCGTGACCGGGGCAGGCTACTTAGCTTCTCTTAAGCCTCTGGGGCAATTATAATATCTTCCTCAAAGGAATGTTGAGGATCTAATGGCAAAATGTGGGTAGATGTCTTGGTTCAGACACTGGCCTATGGTAAGCCTTTAATGAATAACAACTAAATTATTTCTGTGGCTGTTGCCATCGTCATTATTGTGTTGTACTCGTAACCACCACCACCGCCAGCATCAACGACCTTGTCTCCATGAGCAGCCCCGCCTCCCAGCCTGACAGCTTCAGGCTCAGGTGATTTCATTCGTTCCCAGGATAGCCCTCTAAGCGACCCTTTCCCGGGGTGACTACTTCTCAGGGGCAGAAAACCCCCTCTGGAAACCTTTCTCTCTTTCTTTGCCTCCTCCCACCCTTCCCCTCTGCCTCTCTATCAAGCCCACTCTCGTTCCCTGGAGTTAAAACTCCTGCCCCTGCACCCAGCTCAGCGCCACCGCCCCGGGTCGCCCTCAGAGGTGCGGCCTCCTTTCTGCACGCTGCTGCCCCCTGGCGGACGAGGTCGTTAGCGCCCTGGCCCCGAGGTTTCAGCGCTCCGTTTCGGCCAGGCGGCGGCGGGCGGACCCTCCCTAGGCTGGCCACCGCCTCCGCCAGCTCGCGCGCTTGCCCCGCTCGCTCCCTCCTCTCGCTGCCCTGCCACATCTTCCTCTGCCTCCCACCCGAGGGACCATGTCGCGGCTCAGCTGGGGATACGGCGAGCACAACGGTGAGCGCCTTCTGCAGGTCGGAGGGAGGGCTTTGCTCGGGGGGCGGCTGTGGGGGACGGAACACGCACTGCTGATCCCGCACTTGCGAGGAACTTTTTGGTTCCTCTTTAAATTGGGCAGCTTTCCCCAAAGCTGAATGCAGGAAGTGGAGGGAAGGCTTAGTCTTGTGTAGACAGGAAAAGCGTCTTTTGGCGGGTGTTGATGGTGGGGGTGAGAGTTGGCGTGCGTTAGCCGCGTGAAGATTCCCCAGACCCCGAAATCTTCGTCACACGTCCATTCACTTTCCTTTGAAAAGCCGAGCACTTTCCCTAGTTAACTACTTATCAGTTAAAGGCACGGAGATTAGAAGTCTGATGACATACTTTAATGAATTGAGGACAAGTTCGCTTTCAGTTTTTTAATTATCACCTAGAGGAAACAAATCATGCAAAACATTTGAAGCTATACTTAAGAAATTTTAATAATTGAATTGCAACCCTGGAGATTGAAGTTGCCTTCTTGGCAACCAAAATACTGCAATTTTCTTAAAATTATTACTATAAAATATTGCCATGGCAATTTGGTACTGTTAGCTTTAGGAAGACTTAGGTTCTTTCTGAAAAAATGAAGTTATACTTCAGGCTACTTCTTCACCCTTTCTCTTTCTCCCACACTCTCTTTGCAGAGACAGGATTATTCAAATTTTAGCATGTTGGTGAACATGTATTTATTGATGGGAGTGACAGTTATAATAAAATGTATACTTTTTTTCTTCTATATACTAAATGATCAAAATAACCATTATTTGAGGGGCACCTGGGTGACTCACTGGGTTAAGCCTTCAGCTCAGGTCCTGATCTCAGGGTCCTGGGATTGAGCCCCCGCATTGGGTGGGGGGGGCCTTTGCTCAGCAGGGAGCCTGAAGCCCTCCCCCCTGCCTACTTGTGTTCTCTCCCTCTCTGTCAAACAAATAAATAAAATCCTAAAAAAAATTATTTGAAATAATTTTTCAATTATTTGAAATAACTGCAAAGTGACACCAAGAGAGCCTGATAGTGAATCACTGTCAAAATTAGATCTGTGAATAATAATAATAATAATACTTTCTTGGATTAACATGTATATTATTGAACAGTACCATACAGTCAAATTTTATAGAAAGTTTATTTTCACAAAGGAACAGAAAAGCTTCATTTGTCATTGTAGCCTTTTTGAGGTTATGATTGACTTGCCAGTTTAAAAATGGCAGCAGGTGAAATTTAGAACTTTAATAATAAAAGGTGTAATTTAGGTGAATTTCTTTTTGACTAAAACTATAATTATAATCTCATACTTTTGCTACTTTCCAATTTATGTTTGGGGGGAAAACACAAAACAAATTTGTTTTAATTTCCCTCTCTGCTGGAATGGTTTTAATTTTTGTTATTTAATAGTTACTGGGTATTGACAGTGCCCTCACGATAGTTAGGAAGAAAAAGAGTGTTTTCAGTCAGTGAGTACTGATCACTCTTTATATATTAGAAAATAGTGGCTCCAATGGAGCTCATCTTCAGAAATTTAAAAAAATTATCTCTGAAAAGCCGCTACCAAGGAGTGATTTTATATTTCTGCTAAGAGTTATAGGGTCATTTCCTGCTTTTAGATGCAATAGCTTTCTAAGGACCATACTTGTAAGTAGATCAACTGTGGCCAAATCCTACTGGAAATATGTTGAACCTGACCAGGCAAGTTTGGTTGCTTGTTTTCTGTTTACACTGACAGAAGCAGTGAATTAGCAGTTGAAAGGAAACTTAAACTGGGTATAGTAGCAATGATAAAACAGAACACCATGAGTTGAGGCATTGGGAAGGGGGTCCACCTTCGCCAAAAACTTACAGTTCTTGCACTAACCTGTGATAGTTTTATTGGTTCAGGTTAGGGAATGTGACACTTACTGAAAACTACATGTCTCTATAGATATTCAAAAGTTCTTGAATCAGTGGAAGAATCACTATATATCTCTACTTAAGAACTATGTTTAAATGGGTTTAAAGTTGGATGGAAAAATTTTTAAAAAGGTGGTTAAACTATGGTGGTTAATAGATGATATTGAATAATTTATGCAAAGTGGGATTATTTTTATTTTATTTTGGGTTGCCTCTGCTTTTAACATATTCTTGTTATAAAGGATTGGCAATAGGAGAGTAAAGGAATTAGGAAGAGAAAGAAAAAGGTCAACAACATTTTGTGCTATATGCATCACATATTCAAAATCTAATTCTCATCAGGTTAAGCCATACTTGGTGACAGTGAGATAGGAAAACTTTTTCACTTAAAGCAAGGACTAGATTGCACAGAGAAAGTACTAGAAAGGTAAACTGGAGTACTTAATAAATCAGGAAACATAATGCTTTTTCTGTAATAAGTTGTAGGCAAGGGCTTTTGATGTTCAAGTTGCTTTGAAGTCCAAAGTGTCAGTTCGTAAGAGAAGAGCTTTTAAGTTGTGTGTATAGTTACATAGTCATGCTCTGACTTTTTATACCTGAAACATATGCGAAGGAAAGAGCATAAGTTTTCTCCTTTGCAAAATTGAAGAGTAATATGGAGCATTAGGTTTGGAGATTGAAGCTGGTGATAATTGTGATGTATTTGCATTTCTTGAAATGTCATTCTAAATCTTATCTTTAAAAAATATTTGTTGTAGGGCGCCTGGGTGATTCAGTTGGTTGGGCTATTTCCTTTGGCTCAGGTCATGATCCCAGTGTCCTGGGATCAAGCCCCAGGTCTGGCTCCTGCTCAGTGAGAAGCCTGCTTCTCCCTCTTTGCCCCTCCCCTACTCATATTTTCTCTCTCTCCAATAAAAAATAAAACCTTAAAAAAAATGTTGTTGTTGTCAGTAACAAATGTTTAATTGTCATGCTATGTCATTTTAATAAGTACTTGAACGTTAGAGAAATCTAGTGCAACAGGGAGAAGCTTGGTCAGTAGCCCTGTGCTCTGCCACCCTGGTGGTTATTGCGTGAATTGCAGGCATAGTAGACAAGAAGAGCTTCTAACCTATAAAGTGACTACTCATGTCTGAAATGAGTTAGAGGTTACTTGAAGCTGCAATCTTGCTCTTGATTTGTGGAGGCAGAACTTGAATCAAGGCTCCCAGAGAAATGACGAGTGTAGGCAAGGGAATTGCCCGCTTATTGGTTCATGTCAGTTTACCAAGTATGTCTGGCTTGGGAACTAGATGCAATTTTGACTTTTTGAGCAGAGGATCAGGATGACAGTTGTCCCTTGTGTAGGAATTCAAATGTAACACTGGTGAAATAACCTCAGAAGGCCCTTCTGAAATGTAGAAAGAAAGAAAGAAATTGTTACCTGACTCCCCTGAAGATAATCAACAATCTTGCATTTCCTTATGTGGTGCAGCTATTTTATTTGGATTATGCTCTATGAAAAATTTCTATATTTCCTTAGTGTTCCTGTTGCACATCAGAGGCAACTGAGTGAGGCTTGGGTAACACCTGAGGACAACAGTGAGCGATAGAAGAAAGAAATAGGAATAGAACTGAACCCTTTTTTTGCTACATAGCTTTCTCAGTTCCATTAATTCTTTCATCCCATGAACTTGTTGACCGCTGGAGCTATCACAGATCATTCTTGGAGCTGAAACGGAATCTCATTGTTTTCAGTGATGAATTGTGCTGTTGTTTGTAGTTTGGTAGAAAGGTACCTTTGGAAAGTACTTTTTTTCCCCTAAAGATTTACTTATTTTAGAGAGAGAGAGAGTGAGAGAGAGAGCACACGTGCATGCAGAGGGTGGGGGAGAGTCAGAGGGAGAGGATCTCAAGCAGACTCCCTGCTTAGTGGGGAGCCCAATAGACATGGGGCTCAATCTCATGACCCATGAGATCATGAGCCAGACCAAAAGTTGGATGCTTAACTGAATGAGCCACCCAGGCATCCCTAGAAAGTACTTTTTAAAACTTACATGCTTTTTGTCCATAAGGGTTAATTGAATGCTGCAAATGAATTAAGGCAAACCAGAAGGTTTTCATACCCATAATAAAAGCAACTAGTCTTATTAAAAAAAAATTAGATATAAAGGCCCTGAAGATGATGATCTAATGTGTTTTTCCTTCAACTGGAGCACAGTGCACTTGTTTGGTAAAGAAAGTAACTTAATTAGTTCTTTTCTTTTGGCCCTATATATTTAAGGTCCTATTCATTGGAATAAATTTTTCCCTATTGCTGATGGGGATCAGCAATCTCCGATTGAGATTAAAACCAAAGAAGTGAAATATGACTCTTCCCTGCGACCTCTTAGTATCAAGTATGATGCAAACTCAGCCAAAATCATCAGTAATAGTGGCCATTCCTTCAGCGTTGACTTTGATGACACAGAGGACAAATCAGGTTGGTTTTTTTTTTTTTTTGGTGGGAGATGAGGGTCTTCGATGATTATGATTTCTTATCTTTCATATTTAAAATACCTATGGATTGTGTGTTTCTTATCAGTACTTTACTAGAGCTTGTAATAAAAGTTTTATTAGACTGTTTCATAGGATAATGTCTTTCACACTGTGAATAAGTCATAGACCAAACAAATAAAACTTTAGTTTACTTGTTAATTTGGTAGCTAGATGAAGTAGAAAGAGAGAATTTCCCTAAAATGAACATTTAATCCTTCTTCAAGCATTATCAACTCCCAAGGAATGGATGATATCCAGTTTAAAGTTTGGATGAGAGAGAAGATTAGAGAGAATCAAATTTTGTAATACTTCTTAAGGCTTCTGACAAATTATTTTTTAGTCTAATATTAGGATAATGCTGTATTTGGTCTATTAATGAAAAATATAGTTAAATTATAAAAATCCTAAATTGGAAGAAGATTTATTCATTAAGTCAGATTTAGGTTAGTAATAATATTCTGTATTTATGTGATACTATATCATTAGCAAAAATTATAAGCCCACAAAATTTCTCATATATGTCAAATTCATAGAAGATGTATTTTCATCAGTGCATTGAGGAAAAATGCACAAAGAAAGATTAAGACGTGGTATTTTTAACTTGCGGTGGGGAGAGGGGAACTCGCTTTTTACATACTATATTCAATTGTCTTCAAGCCCTCAGTTTTATGAAACTGTATTAGTAGATATGGTTGATGGGTACATTGTAAATAGTCTAAGCTTCCTGAGTATAAAGTTTACACCATCCATAATCATAGTTTGATACTGTATATATCTCAAACATGAAAACTTGAGGCTATCCACTTCTAGTTTTAGAGTAAGAAGTGATTAATTGTACTTCATCTAAAGCTTTAAGCTTTTATTTTTTTTTAAATATTTATTTATTTTAGAGAGAGGGAGAGAGAACTCATGAGTGGGGGGAGGGGCAGAAGGGGAGGGAGAGAATCTCAAGGAGACTCCCTGCTGAGTGTGGAGATTGATTTTGCAACCTTGACATTATGACCTCAGTTGAAACCAAGAGTCAGATGCTTAACCGACTGAGCCACCCAGATACCCCAAAGTTTTTTATTTATAAATGAGAGCTGCCTTAGTCATAAAAAATTCCTACTCTATTTGATGATGACTAAGGTTTTCTCTCTCCCTCTCTTTTCCTTCCTCTCCCTCCTTCTCTCTTCCTCTTTCTCCCTGTCTCTTTCCCTCTTCCTCCTGTTTTCCCTCTACTTTGGGTTAACCCAGGGGAATCAGTTTGTTTGTGTTTCCAGATTTGACACTGTGTCTGTGATTGGTAATGTGTGCTCTCTCCCCGATGTGAAGGTTTCCCTCTTATCTAGATCACAGTGAAATTACCAGGGTTAATTGGAAATGTCTGTGAAGTACTTAGTACCCTCTGAGACAGAAACTACATAAATATGGGTCATGATTCTCATTCTTTTTTCTCAAGATAAAAGAGAATGTTTCATGGTTATTCTGGGTATTAAATCAGTGAAAAAGTAGAAACCACTATAGTTAAAATAAATTGTTAGCTTTTCTTTTTCTTTGGTAAACTACAAAAAACACAAAGATACTTTCTGTAGCAAACCACTTTGATTTGAAGAAAACAGTTTCCATTTTGTAAAGAAGACATTCTTGACCAAAATTAACTCTGAATCCCACCAATCAAGAAACCACAGACATGAAACCTTCCTCATGGTCCTTGTAGGGCTTCTTTGTCTGGGAAGTTGCATTCCGCGTGGTTAACCTCTGGTGCGTCACCCATTAGAATTTTAATAGTCCTTTAAAAAGGGGGCAGGGGTGCCTGGGTGGCTCAGTTGGTTAAGTGTCTGCCTTTGGCTCAGGTCCTGATGCCAGAATTCTGGGATCAGGTCCCGCATTGGGCTCCTTGCTCAGCAGGAAGGCTGCTTCTCTCTCTCCCTCTGCCTGCCCCTCTGCCTGCTTGTGTGCTCTCTTTCTCTCTGCAAATAAATAAATAAAATCTTAAAAAAAAGTAAAAAGGGGGCAGGAGGATATGAAATTCTGGGGGAAGAAGGCCTGTTGGCTGTGGTAGAGGAGAAATAATAATCTGGTAAGGAAAGACAAGGGCATTTTCACCGTAGCTTCTGGGCTTTCTGTATTCAGACAGGATCTTGGCTCTGGGAATCTCACCTGACTGGCCCCACAACTCTCCTTGTGGCACCTCAGACTTGTCCTATCACAGAACTTCCCACATTGCATTGTAACTGCTGGTTGGTTCTCTTCCCACTCAGCTGAAGACTCCCTGTGGGCAATAGCTTTGTCTTATTCATCTGTCTAGTATGGTGCCTTGCACACAATAGGTACTCAGTAAATGTGTGTTTCAGTTAACTTTTTTTTTTTTGGTATGATGTTTCCTGGAGGACATAGAAAATTGATATGGCATTATGGTACAGGACACGTTAGTCTACATAGGTGAAGTCCCAATAAAATTCAAACCACCAGAAATCAATTAATACTTACCATTTGACACCTAAGTATTAGTGGATTATTCGTTATTTGAATATTTAATTTTTAAAGGCTGTTGTACTAATTTTTTATTTTAATAAATGAGAGTTCCTGGCATATAGTAAGCACTTAACAACTATTAATAACTACTAATAATAACACAGAATACATAACAGGTCTGTATCCTTATCATATCTGAGATATGTTGTGCTGAAATTTTTTAAAGATATCAAAAGGAAGCTGATTTCTCATTAAGAAAGGCCTCCTAGGAATACCAGTGACTTGATGAGTTCAGTGTTTATTCTTTAATTTTCATCTCTAGAAATTATTAATTTCTCAGTTCAGTCTAGTTATCAAGGTCTAGTTATGTTGTTCTAGGTAACTACGTGAAATCAACCAAATTCACAAGATCTGAAGTTATACGTTAGAAAAGAAAACAAAACAAAACAGAAAAAGATCTGGGGGAAGGATATCTTAGTTGTGTGATCCCTCCCAGAAGCCCAGATCTGCAGGAAACGGAATTGCTGATTTGTGATAGTGTAGACATTACAAAGCTTTAGTGTAATGACATTTCCTTCACCAGACTCTAAGTTCCTTGAGGGTAGGGATGACCTTACTCAGCATCCCATACTTACTTAGCCTTGAACACAGTCGCAGGCCCATAAGTAAGCTCTTCAGAATCATTGAATGAATGAGCAATGAGAGAGTAACGTGGTGTGCATATGCTAAGAACAAAAGAAGCCAGATTGAATGAAGACTTTCCTGGTTCCATAAAGAATTCAGGCCCTGGGGACCGGAAACATTTATGGCCTTGGTCTCTCTCTCTCACGGTACAATCCTGACAGTTTTGTGCTGTTTGGTTCCTCTTTTCCTAGATTCAAGCAAAATAGAGATGTGCTGTTCACATAGCTTTACTTCAGAGAACTGTTTACCACGCAACAATTTCATTAGATTCAGAGTCATAAGAACATGTTCTTTAGCAATTCCTAGGTCATTTACTCAGAGCCCACCTTATAAACCAAAGTCTATGGAGAAGTGCTTCTACAGATGAGGTCTTTTTCCTATTTTATGTTAGTGGTTTTTACTGATGCATACACTGTCCTAGGCACTGAAGATGGTAAAAGAACAAGAGAGATTCTGCCTTAAAAGAGTTTGTATGCTGGTGGGATAGGCAGTAAATACATGCATAGACAAGTGTGTTAATTATTACATTTTTTTTTTCTGATTTTGTTGCAAGCCTTGCTTATCATTTAAGGCCACTGACAACAGTGTAGTTTCATGAAATAAGTAAGGTTAGCAAATTTCTAACAAAGTCAAATTCAAGGGAGTAACATATACATTTCTAGTTTCACAACATTGTTGGTCTTTGCAGCATATCACAAATGACAAGGACCCTTTTACTAAGATATTAAAAATTTCCCAAACTTTTATGGCATTTAACTCAGGTTTCTTAATCTCTGCAGACTTCTTATATGAGTATTCTATTTGGAATAGACTTAAGAAAAATTCTGAATGAAAGAATAAGTGGACATGTATACCAAGGGTGATTTTGGAGAAATGATTATTTGTTTTCACATATAAGATGGAGACAATAATATTTATTTACTCATCTCAGTTGCAGAGGAAGATGAATGATTTGACCCTTGAAAACACGAAGTCATTCTCCCTAAAAATAATTTTTGTTGCCTGTATTCATTTCATACTATAGTTTCATTATTTTCTTACAGACTATCTCAAAGTCAGTGAATTTATATTTACTTAATATTTTGACTCACTTTTCCCTAACCCGTGTTTCTTCAAAAGAGCTCTGCTTCAAGAGAATGTCTTCCTTCATAAGTAGACATTTGCTGATTATGGTCCCAGTTTGGATATTGTAGATGAAACACTCACATGTGGAGTAAGATATATAGAGTGTAAGGCAATCTTTGTTGCTTAACTAGCAGAGCTATGCTAATCTGGCTTTAAACCCTGGATTCTGAGTAGGCTTTCCAGAGATCAACCACGATTCTTGGATGTTTCCCTAACCCTGTGTGTTTTTGATATCACTTTCTTTCTCTTGAGCCAGCTTGTTTGCATCTTCTCCCAAAGTTAATTCCACACTGATGACTCTAATCTGCTTTTTATCTGTGAGGGAATGACTTTTTGTTTCAGCTCAGCTCTTATTATGCTACAGTAAGGGGGTAAAAAAGGACAATAGAATTGTTGATTTCTTTGGCAATTATCACAGACTGTCACTCATATGTGAAATTTAAGAAACAAGGCAGATGAACATAGGGGAAGGGAAGGAAAAATAAGATGGAAACGGAGAAAGAGGCAAACCATAAAAGACTCTTAACTACAGAGAACAAGCTGTGGGGGAGGAGGAAGGGGGGAATGAGGTAAATGGATGATGGGCATTAAGGAGGGCACTTGAAGTAACGGCCACTGAGTGTTATATGTACGTGGTGAATCACTGAATTCTAATACCACACTATATGTTAACTAACTGGAATTAAAATAAAGAAAAAAGGAAAAATTTAAAAAAATGATTTCTTTTCATTTGGAATGCCATTGCATCCATGCTGAATGGAGTCACTTAGGCAAATGTGCCCTTTAAATTAATTTATCTGTGAATCATCTTTGACTGCTTGTTTAAAGACAGATCAAATATTTTATTCATTCATTCATCAAATATTTATCATGCATCTGCTCTGTGATAGTTACCATGCTTAGGTGATGGGTCCAGCAGGGGCCCAGTCAGAGTTTCTACCCTCATGAACACTGTTGGTGGGAGACTCAAAGCGGTATAACTACTCTGTTTGTAACAGTGCAACTAACTAAAGAGCAAGCCCTCGAGTCTGATATAAATGCTTCTCTTTTATTTTTCAGAGATCTTTGGAAATAGCTATCTTTATTGTAAAGAAATCTGGATCCAAATAGTCTAAAGAAACCTCCAGTCATTCAACATCCTCCCAAATTTTATTGCACATGTTCAGTATTTTTCCTTGGTAATTTTGATAATTATAGAAGTTATAATCTCCTAATTAAAAATAGACAAACGAACACAAATAGAGACAAAAAAGCTGACGCCCACAGAGGATTAAGTGAGTTTTGGAAGATCACATAATTCAGTAGCTGATCTGGGACTATTCCCGTGTTTGCTAATCCCAACCACAGTAACTCTTCATCATTGATGTTCAACTTCGCCTGAGTCAAATTGAGTAAGGAAGAAATGAGTTCAGTTGTACTGGTTAATACAGACAGCAGTCTGGATCATTTCTCTCCCACAGTAAAGCTCAACGAGGGGTGTGCTTTAGACAAATGTATTTTCCCTTTTTCCCCTTGCTGTGTGTAGAAAACTGCACGTGATACACCTTAACATCTTTTGTTTCTGTAGGCTCCCTGTGGAACATGGGACTTGAACTCACGACCCTAAGATCAAGAGTCACATGCTCTACTGACTGAGCCCTCCAGGAGCCCCATAACATCTTTTGTTTCTTATCTAAGATGGATCATTCCTGACAATTTTGAGATATCTCTAACTCTGTATCTCTGTTTCCCTATCTGAAATCTCTGAAGAGGAGGGTCATTTATATCAAACTATTATTAAGGCTGCAGCTCACAATCTAACACTTCTGTCAGCTGTTGATGGGAGATTAGTAATGTGTATGGTATACTGAACACCCAATGCTTTCTTATCCCCCCATATCTTTTAAACATGCCCAATAAAAATTAATTAGGAGGAGACAGTTTAGAGCTATGTTTTCTCTTAAGAAGGTTTCTGTATACTTAAGATATGACTCTGTTGCCAAAAAAAGAGTTAATTTTGCCTTGTATTCCAGGTTTCCGTGGGAAGTTAGAATTCAAGTACAGAAGATGGGCTTCTTGGCCATTTTTTTGTAGTCATCCTAAAAACAATAGAATAGTAATATAGCTAACATGTCCAGTATGCTGATTGTATACCAGGCAGTGATAAGTTCTTTGTATTCAACTTTTCTTCTATTTTCAAAACAGCATTAGGAGGAGGGAGCCTTAGTATCTTGAGGCGACAGACATGAAAGCTATAGCTTTGAAGTTAGAGTTGATACAAGATCACAGAGTAAGAGCAGTCTTCTCAGTGCTGGAACCTGTTCTCTAACCATTGCTTCTGGGCTACTTCCCCAAGTTCAAGGTGGCCCTCTTGACATATCACATCCTAATTCAGAGAGGCTGACATCCTCCAATAAACAGACTCATTCTTTGCTTTAGGAACTCCTAATTTCTTCTACTTTCCAAACCACTGTGATTTCCCAGATGTCTCATAAAAATGTGTATCATGGACTCTCCAACCTTTTAAAATGTTTGTATTCATTCCTTGTACACCTAAAAATTGTATGCCTGTCTGCAAACTGAATGACACATTTATAAAAATATAAATGGTGGACATGGACATGTTGAATAATTCAGGGAGATGATGTGGATTATAGTGGCATGTGTAAATATTTTCTTCTTGCTAACAATTTGAAATATATTGGCGTTTAGTTCTGCGTGGGGGTCCTCTCACTGGAAGCTACCGCTTGCGACAGTTTCACCTTCACTGGGGGTCTGCTGATGATCACGGCTCTGAACACGTGGTGGATGGAGTGAGATACGCTGCAGAGGTAAGCCATCGGACACATATTCATGATTCAGTGGTTTCCTAGGTGGTGGGGTATAAGGAACCCAGCTGACAACTCTCTTGACTGCAAATTGATCCTGAGCCAATTAGGAATCAGTGTCTGATATTGCTTTATTCCATCAATAGGAGAGTTTATCAGTATTAGAGCTATAAACGTGATCCTTCTGAGCCTTACACCAACTCTGGGAGATGAGGGTTATTGTGCTCCTTCTAGAAATGAGTAAACAGCTGGTTTGGAGAGATTAATAATTTACCCAATTAGGAAGCAGTTGAGATGGGTTTAAACTCACGTCTGTCTGATACCAACTTATAAATTCTTTCTAGAATATCTGTTGTGTTTCCTGAAAGTCCAGGGAGAAGGCAGAGAAAGAGACATTTGATTTGGGCCCAACTGTGTACTTTTTTGGTCCAGACACAGGTGTATACTAATATCATATTTTGTAGAAGTGATATTAAATGGCAAAGTTCCTTACAGGGAAAAGAAACAAAGACATGAACTCTTCTAAACTCTACCCTACCTCTATATTTACAGGTATAAAAGGGAATCTCTGTTAATTATTGAAGTGATAATGCAATAAAGCATTCATTGACTTTTTTTTTTAAATTGAGAAGTTATTCCTTTGTAATTACATTGATTAATACTACTCTACTTTTTCTAATCCTCTGTTAAATGACAAAGCATAATATACTTTCAGTTTTAATACTGTTAAATATTGCTAACACTCAACTTTTCCATGAGATGAGAGTGAATTATTGTGTGATGCAACCAAAGTTTTTTAAGTGACAGTAATTTGGCTTATGAGTTGTCTAGGTGAATCAGAGCATTACCAGGCAAATAAAGTTTTTCTTCATTTTCTCATGGCTACTAAGCTGTGGAGTTGAGACACTCCTTTATAGTTCTGCTGCTGAGAGAAATCCAGCCAAGAGAGCTTTCCAGTTTTGCTCTTCCATTAACACGTACATCTGTTCTTTGAGCTTATCAACCAAAACATCTATGTGTCTACTTAAAACACTTGTTTGAGGCCAATTGCTTAGGATATGGGACCCACTCTGTTTTCAGGAGGGAATAAATTGTATATCCAAAGTGTTCCATGGCACTGGATAAAAGATGCCAAGAATATAGAAAGTGGGACTCCTGAATCTGTGTGGTGCCTCAGTTTATATCATCTGCTGAATAGTTTTCATGTTGCTTTCTGAAGTTTTGTGTTCTAAATTGAACACGTTTTTCTAAATCTGAAAGTTTCTCTGGGGATTGAGCTGGCTTTGGATTACTGCTTTGTAATTTTTCTAAGCAACTAAAAAAACTTAGTCACATTGCTTTATAGTTATACTTCCTAGTGTCATAAACTTGAAAGTATACTTTTGAGAGGTTTTATCTGAGCTGGCAAGTTGCTTCTTGAAAAGGGCAGTCCTATCCTGAAATTTTCCAGAGGCTCAGAGTCCTGCCTACAGAGCAAGAGACATCTTCGTAGACTTTCCTTCTTGAAACAGATAAAGCTTTGACTAGAGTTTTGTATATTCTTTAATATGTGTTTAAGGTTGTTTTTTATTTTATTTGTTTATTTGTTCATGAATCATTCACTCTTTAAGAAGTCATCGTGACCCCACCATGTCGCCCATCTTTGTCCAGCTTACTCATGCTGGAAGGAAGTAAGGATGAGCCAGGGAATGTTTCCCTGGGAAGAGGCCTCAACCCTAAACCTGAAGGATGAGCAGGAGTGAGCCAGGCAAAAGGCAGAGACAGTAGGGGCCCTGCCTAGACTCAAGTGTGAGGACTTGGGTGGGTAGTCACATATTGGAAGAACAGAGTGACCAGTGGAATTAGTACACAAAGAACGAAGTGGAGAGATGCCAGAGGTAAAGTTGGAAAGGCTGGAGAGCCTGATTTTACAAAGATCAATCATGGTAAGGCTTGTGAACTTAATTCTAAGTGCGGTGGGAAGCCATTAACTGGCTTTGAATCGTGAAGTGATCATATGTGCATTTTAAAAATATTCATGCTACAGTTTGAGCATAAATTGGGTTGAAGCAGGAGTGGATAAGGAGAGTCAGCGAGGAGGAGGCTTTGCGGGACGTTCCGGGTAATAGACTATAGCTCAGTTAATTGGAGTGCTGGTGACCAGTGCAGCTTTGGTGGGATTTGTTGATTGATTAGGTTTGAGAGAGAGGGAGAGGAGGGGGTCCTTGTTTCTGGTGGGAGATAGGAATGCTGATGGAGAATGAGGAAGTCTGGGTCAGACCTCAGGATTGATGGGGTGTTAGAAGTAGACAATAAACATATAAGTAAATGGTATATGGTAAATTCTTTGTTAGGAACAATACTATGGGATCTGGTAGTATGATTAAATAGGAAAACTCACCATGAGAAAATCTGTACAGCTTTTCACCAAATCTATACAGCTTAACAGCAAATACAGATGACCTCAGGCTGAAATGAAGTTGGCATGTTTAGGAAGCGAAAGGCTTTGGCTTCTGGGATTGGAATTAATGAGAAGAGGTTATAGGCTGTGTCCTAGAGAGGCAGGCAAGGACCATGTCTTGTTGGGCTTTGTAGGGCATGGTGAGAAGTTTGGAATTTATCCTTGATGTATTGAGATAAAGACAATGGAAGGTTTTGGGCAGGGGAATGTCCTGTTCTACTTTATATTTTATAAAGTATAACTTGCTCCTGTGTGGAAAAGATGTCAGGCAAATGTTGAAATGGGGAGACAAGTTAGAAGTTTATGGAAGTATTTCAAATGAGCAAGGGTGGTGGTTTGGTCTATGGAGGTGGTGGAGGTAAAGAGAGCTAGGTGAGTCCGGGATATGTTTGGGAAAGAAAATCCATGGGACTTGCCAATGAAAAGTGTAGCAAGATTGAAGGAAGAAGAAAGAGGAATCTAGAAACATTCCTAAGACTTTGGCTTGTGCAAACATGAGGATCTTTCTGCCACTTACTCAGATGAGCAAGTACAGGAAGGAGCAGGTTGCAGAGAGAAGCTGACTTTCTCTTGCACACACATCAAGTTTGAGGTGTCCATTAGATATTCTAGGCTCACATTCAAGAAGGCCATTAGGTACAGACCTGGAGTTTAAGGAAGATGTCCAGGCTGGAGATGGAGGTATTTGGGAATCACATTTGGTTTCAGGATAAAAAGAATCCCTTTGTGCTCAGCTGTAGAAATGATTCTTTTTTTTTTTTTTTTTAAGATTTTATTTATTTATTTGACAGAGATCACAAGTAGACAGAGAGGCAGGCAGAGAGAGAGAGGGAAGCAGGCTCCCTGCTGAGCAGAGAGCCCGATGCGGGACTCGATCCCAGGACCCTGAGATCATGACCTGAGCCGAAGGCAGCGGCTTAACCCACTGAGCCACCCAGGCACCCATGTAGAAATGATTCTTAATTAGTTTTTCCCGCCACTTTTGTACCTAACTTCATGATTGTCATTGAGTTGTATCCACTTAAAAAAAAAAAAAGAAGAAGAAGAAGAAGAAAAGAAATGAAAGGAATTTAGAATGTACCATATAAAAATTTAACTTTGAGTCTAATCTCATGACTTGTGACATTATAGAGAGAGATTAAAGTGTTCAAATCATGGAAAAACCTTACCCTAAGAGTTGTGTGTCTATAAAAAGTAGGCTAATAATCCACTCCCTATTTAAAACTTCATCTGATTACAGTTTGTACAGATTATATAATAAGCATATTAAATATGTAGTTGATAGTAAAACTATAATTTTAATATTAATGATGATTTTTGGCAGGTTAAACATAATTTACGTATCAATAATATGCAGTTAAAATGCTAAAGTTGAATAATAGTATAATTTAGAAATTATTGGGGTACCTGGGTGGCTCAGTGGTTGAGGGTCAGACTCTTGATTTTGGCTCAGGTCATGATCTCAGGGTCCTCAGCACGGAGTGTCCTTGAGATTCTCTCTCCCTCTCTCTGCTCCTCCCTGTGCTCCTGGTCTCTCATAAATAAATAAATAAATAAATAAATAAATAAATAAATAAAATCTTTTTTAAAAAAAAAGATTATTTCTAATAGGGAAGAATATTCTCATTTCCGGTTTTGTTGTGGCTATGAGTTCTTGTCATTTGCTTAAATCACTGAAGCTGTCATTGTTGGTCTGGAAATGTGAATTTGTTATTTGTTTGAGTTTTAATTCAAATACAAATGGTGGGGCACCTGGGTGGTTTAGTTGGTTAAGTGGTTACCTTCAGGTCAAGTCCTGATCCCAGGGTCCTGGTGCTGAGCCCCATGTTGGGGGAGGAGGTGTCTATACTCAGCAGGGAGTCTGCTTCTCCCTCTGTCAAATAAATAAATAAAATCTTAAAAAGAAACTCCCAAACCCTGCAAAACCAAATATGAATGCTAATACAAGTGGTATCGGTCCCTCTGAAGCTATTGGTGCTAATTAGGCAAGGTATGTGGGAGAGATAAAGACTTGGAGAAAAAAAAAGATTTTTCTTGCTCTAGTTTCCCATAATATTCTAAATAGCTGTTGTTTTTTGTTTTTTTTTTAAACAATTTTATGTATTTGAAAGAGTGAGTGGGAGCACAAGTGGGGGGAGGGGTAGAGGGAGAAGCAATCTCCCTGCTGAGCAGGGAACCCAACACTGGTCTCTATCCAGGACCCCGAGATAATGACCTGAGCTGAAGCTGAAGGGGGTTAGCTGACTGAAACCACCCAGGCACCCATAAATAATTGCTGTTTTTTAGCCAAGAAAAGGATATATAGATTCATTTCTCTTTAGTTACATATTCCTTTTTTAATCAGTTGTGAACCTAAAGACATCATTTCACTTCTTTTTCTTTCTTTGGTGTCATCTCTTACAAAGTGAGCTGATGGATTGGCACAGAGCCATTTAAAACAATTTTAATGTTCTTTTCAGCCCCTCCCTTAGAGTGGAATGTCTTTACCTTATGTGAGCCAAATGAATTGTTTCATCATCCAGTGTTTTCCAGGTTTCGTTCCTCCTCCACCTATCTCACACCAACTTAGAACATGGTACCGCAGGGATCCACCTTTGTATTTTTGATCTGTATATCCCACAGCCTTCCTTGATTGTTTATGGATGGTGGAGTGTTTCATAGTTTTGTAGCTCACTGGTTGTGATAATTCTTATTTATCCAGAAATTCCCCCATATTAGTTGCCTATAAAATAAGTTATATTTAAAGCATGGGATTAAAACCATGACTTTGAACATACTCAGTTCTCTCTTTTAAGAGACAGCTAGAAAGGTGACTTGTGCATGAAGCCCTTCATATGTGTTTCCCCCCTGAGGTGCCCAAAGGATTCACTGAAAGGATATTGTATCTGAGGTCAGTCCTTCGTACAGGGGTTCTTGGACAGCATGGCATGCTCATGATCATGGCCAAATTGTTTGAGTGTGGCACACTGCCCTTTGGTGTCTATTGTAGTGTGTTCTTCCCCTTAATCAGGATTGAAGATCTCCCCGAGGGGGTTTTCTGCCTTATTGTTATTCTTTCACAGTTGTCTTTCACGGTTGTTTGTGTGTTTGGGACATGGTACTGTGTACAGTCGCAGAACTTTTAGGACCACTTTGGATTTTGCAGGACACCACTTGCAAGAGGGCAGGGTTGTGAAGTAGGTGTATTTTCTATTTTCTAGAGTTCCAGGTCCTCCAACTCCTTCCCTTTCCCCTTCTTTCCTTTCTCCCACCTCAGTAGCACCAACTGCTTCTCATTTTCATCCTCAGATGTGCCTGGTTCCTAGTTCCTGTTCCTAGACAAAGTCTCTTTGTCCCCGTTAAAACTTACTATCAGCAAAGGATTGGAACATAATTCTAGAAGGTAACACATGTGTGAATACTGCTTAAGATAGTTCTGCTAAGGAGAATTTGCTTTTTCCAGTCATAAAAAGTCTTCGGGTATGGAAATGAACATCTGACTAGGCAGTTTTAAGAACAATCAGTACTGTCCTTAGCAGCAGGATTGTTACTACAAACCATCAGTTGACTTCTCCCCCCTCCTGTGAGCCTAAGCTTGTTTCCTGGACTCTGCTACCAGCCGAGATCTGACCTAAGGCTGCTCTGTTGCATTTCCACCCGTGGAAGGTTAGGGAGGAGCCTTAAGTCATTCAGGAGCAATGGTTGGAGATTGCTTGGACCAGAGGGGCTTGGCAGGATGCTCCAGAACGTTCTAACTTGTGCTGTAGACCTTCCTATAGTATACCACAGACTCTAAGTGGCCATGGTACTTGTCTTTGGCTTTTAGACAAAAGCAAAAAGGAGGATTCTGTGAAGAATACATTATACACATGTGTGCACAAACCCAGAATATCTATATAAATATTTCATTTTCATTTATGTTTTTAAGGATTTAAAAAAATTTTTTTTGAATTGTGTCCCTTTCAGCTCCATGTTGTTCATTGGAATTCAGATAAATACCCCAGCTTTGTTGAGGCAGCTCACGAGCCAGATGGACTAGCTGTCTTGGGAGTATTTTTACAGGTGAGAATCTACCAATTTCATTTTAAATAATTCCTCAGCCATGTTGGATAAAGAGTTTCAGTCATGGAAAATGTAATCATACCATTTTTAATAGTAAACTCCTTCTAAGTTTAATGTTTCCCTTTGGAAATTATATTAAACATTTATGTTTTAGTTTATGATTTATCTAACAGCCCAGAACTACCTTAGAAGTATTGTCTTACATCTTCTCTTATTGTCCATTGATCATTTTTACGTGAACAGAAACAGCAGCAGCTGCAGCCACAACAATAGTAGCAGGAGTAACAACTGAGATTCGAGAAGGAAATCTTTATTCTAGGCTCTTCCTGATGACACAGTATTTAGAGTTACAGGACCGAGTGAAGTTCAAGTTCCTGAATCTTGAAGCACTAGTTTTACCACAGTGGTCTGTTGTCTCAAACACACTGACCAGTTTTTGAAAAACTGTTGTTGTCTTTTCCTTTGTCTCATATTCACACGTGGTGAAGCAAGTGTCCTTGTTATAATCCCCGTGGGTGTGTTGGGCCGTTCAGCTCCCACTGTGACCGCATTCTTGCAGGGCCAGCGCTTTTGCTCTGCCACTGACTCTGTGCGATGTTGTAACCCTTTGGGGCTGGGACTGGCACTGGGGGAAGTACAGGGCAGAACGGAGGGTGGGATGAATGGCAGTGGCTAGCTTCTTCCCTTTGGCCGCCAAGTCCGCTGGTGGCAGTGGAATACGAGTGAGGCAAGAGATTATGTTTTAATCCTGAAGGATTTAAAAGTTTAGTTAGATTCAGGACATCCATAATAACGAAGAGAGGTACATATATTTTTCTGATGATGATTTCTACTCATTGATAATATATCATGTTGGTTCAAGAACTTAAATCATTTTAGGTTGTAAGTGGGAGATTTTTTCTTTTCTTTTATTTATTTGAGAAAGAGAGAGAGAGCACATGCAGGGGAAGTAGCAGAGGGAGAAGGAGAGGGAGAAGCAGGCTCCCCGCTGAGCAAAGAGCCCCCTGGATCCCAGGACCCTGGGATTATGACCTGAGCCAAAGGCAGATGCTTAACTGACTGAACAGCAGATGTTGCTGGAGATATTTTCTTTTAATGCTTTGATGTCTCAAGAGTCAGTTTGGATCTAGGATCTGAAGGTCACATCTGGTTGAATAGTATTATGTTAGAGTTTCCTAAGGGAGTTTTCTCTTAAGTTAACCTGTATCTTAAACATTCATAAAGCTGAAAAACTATGTAGCTATTAATACTAGTTTTGGAATCAAGCTTAAAATTCAGCCAAGGAACCTGTAACATTACCTTGTTCAGATTCTTGTAGCATGATAAAGGCAGCAGGTAAAAGGCAGCTTCATTATAGAACAATCTCTGTTTGTTCTGGGCTGGCGTAGTTTTTTTTTTTTTTTTTTAATTCAAAACCAATTATTGAAATGGAGTGAACCAGACTTGTTCTGCTACAGTAACCATTTCTTCTGAAATTTTGTGCTTTCAGATTGGTGAACATAATTATCAACTGCAAAAGATTACAGACATTTTGGATTCTATTAAAGAAAAGGTAAAATGAAATATTATTTGCTAATGACTAACGTATTCGTTGTTCTCTCCTGAAGTTTCTTACTTTCTTTTAATAATTTAGACATATGTTCAGATGGAACATATGCTATCTGCTTTGAAGCAGGTTTGGAATATACGTGATCAATAGAGCAGAATCAACCTATTACCATTTGCCTTTTGGAAATTATGAAAGGGGGTCTTAAATTACCTAAAATCATTACTAACAAAACTATGCATGATTAGTTTCTGGTATTGGAGTGTTGCATAATCAGCATCTAAAACTTGCAACACACTTTAAACAAATCTTGTGTTCTTAAATAAATCTAGGGAATGTGCTACTTCATCTAACATTTTTAGGTTAAGACAGAAATTTTTTTTAAGATACAAAGGCAGATACTAAATAATTCCACGAATTAAAGAATTCTAGCACAATGGTCTTTCATTGGATGCTTTTTTTTTTTTTTTGAGGGCGGTGTCAAACTCTCCCATTATAATTCTCTTTTCTCTACCAGGGTAAACAAACTCGATTCACAAATTTTGACCCATTATCTCTGCTTCCTTCATCCTGGGACTACTGGACATATCCTGGTTCCCTAACAGTCCCACCTCTTCTTGAGAGTGTCACGTGGATTGTTTTAAAACAACCTATAAATATCAGCTCTCAACAGGTATGTCGCTTCTTCAAGGTTGATCCTGATTTACTAGAGGAAAACTGGATCAAAACTTAAAAAAAATCCTGCCCTTAATTTCTGGGACATGAAGCCTGTGTTTTCCCTTCATTAATCAGATAGGTAGTTGGACTGGGTAAAACTCATGTCCCTTTCTTATTTGGCCTTCTGTGATTAGATGATTTCTCTCCCTGTTCTTTGAAATATAACGTGCATACAGACACTGAGGAAGGTGACTTTAAAGGCTATACTTGTTTTCTTTTATGGGCTGAGATATAAGCGGGCTGGTAGATAAACAGGAAAATTAGGAGAAAGGCTATTCTTAAAAGGGGACTTTCTTCTTTTTGACCTCAGTCCCTCATGAGACCTGTTCCTCCTAGAGATGATGTCGCAGTGAGAAAGTGAGCGGTGTGGGGCACCTGGGTGGCTCAGTGGGTTAAGCCTTTGCCTTCGCTCAGGTCATGATCCCAGGGTCCTGCATTGAGTTCTCTGCTCAGCAGGGAGCCTGCTTCCCCTCTCTCTCCGCCTGCCTCTCTGCCTACTTGTGATCTCTGTCTGTCAAATAAATAAATAAATAAATAAAATAAAAAAAAAAAAAAAGGAAAGAAAGTGAGCAGTGACACAGCAGTGGGTTTCTTGGCTTTTGCAGACAGAACTTTTGTGGGGCTGTTTGAGGGGCTGTAAGCATTTCCTGAGATGCTGTTGGCTGCCTACCTGTGCTGTTTTAGTGAAGACAATGCCTCACTTGTTTTTCTGATAAATGTGTGGAGTCCCCACGAGAAGCCAAGCTGTCTGCAGACTCAGGCTGGCTTGGATGCCCAGAAACTCGGCTTGGGTCTATGAGCCGTGTGACTGACCTATCAGACAGGTGGATGTGATGTCTTCTGTGGATGTTGTGCTGAGTGGGTTTTCTTTGCTGTTTGTTTTCCTTTTTAAATTACTTGCGCACCATCTTAGCAAGAACACAGGCTGGTAACTTTTGTAGGTAATCTGTTCTGGGCTTGCCCACCTGCCTAGCTCGTTCACCTTTGCCAAGGTCATGTCAGGTAACATTTTTCCTTGGCATGTTGAACACATCAAACTTCTGTTGGCCTATCTTTAAGATTAAAGCCAAATAATAATCTGGGACATATAGATCAAAACATTTTGTAAAAGTGTGGATTGAAGTTCAGAGCTTGACAGACATGGAAATTCCTGTGACTTTTCCCCTCATGAATAAGGTGCCTCATGTCATGAGAAAAAGGACCTGTCACTGATCCAGTGGCTTTACTAACAGAGTAAATTTTTCTTTCCTCCATGTGTTAAACTGTTCACTTTTACATTCCTTTCTTAAATTTGAACAGGGTAAGGGTAACAATTAATAAATTATATCATCAAGGTGGTAATAATAAGAGTTCATGTTTTTCTTCATATTTCAAGGATATTTTTATCTCTTAAAGCCAGTTGGAAATTAACTTTTTAAAATCCACTTGCCATTTAGAACAGAATATATCAAAATATATAATTTAGTTCCTTAAAATACTTAAAGCTCTTAATCAAAAATGACCCTCTGTAAGTTTAGGAATTATGCCTGCCTAGCTGTGGTTTCACTACTGTATCTAATTTGAGGCTCAGTTAATTAAAAATAATTATTAATGTGGTTTTTATAAGGTAGAGTATATAAAATAATAACTATATTTTAGAGCTTTAGTATGATTGATAATTCACTGAGATCTACTTAAATTCACTTACATCTACTCTAGCATGAATACTTTTAGACATTTTCATTTTTAAAAAATATTTTATTTATTTATTTGAGACAGAGAGAGAATGAAAGAGCACAGTAGGGGGCGGGGCAGAGACCGAGGGAGAACCAGACTCCCTGCTGAGCAGGGACCTGGACATGGCCCATCTCAGAACCCCAAAATCATGACTTAAGTTGGAGGCAGACTCTTAACCATCTGAGACATCTAAGCAGGTGCCCCAGACATTTTCATTTTTAATCAGATAGAAATGATTATCTGAATAATAATCCAAATTATTTTAATATGATATTATGGTGACTTTAAGAGTTAAAGAATGAAGCAAAAGATATTTCAGAAGCCCAATCCCAGTCTAACCATGAGAAAAACATCAGACAAAGCCCAGCTGAGGGAGGTTCTGCAAAATAGCCAGTCAATACTCCTCAAAACTGTCGAGATTATCAAAAGCAAGGTAAATCTGAGAAATTGTCGTCATCAAGAAATGCTCAAGGAAATATGATTACTGAATGCAATATTTTTTCCTGGTGGGATCTGGAACAGGAAAAGACATTAAGTAAAAACAAAGGAAATCTTAATAAAGAATGGACTTCAGTTAGTGAGAATATATTGACACTGGTTCACCAATTGTGAATAATGTACCACGCTAATGTAAGAGATTCGTAATAGGGCACATGGAGTGTGGGGCTTATGAGAACTATTTGTACTGTCTTTGCAATAATCCTGTAAATCTAGAACTATTCTAAAATAATAAGGTTATTAAGAAAATCGAAAACATGAAAGGGTTGAGATGATTATTCAGTGTTTATCTCTTTTATATAAAGTGAAATGAACATGTCTTTCGAGTATACCACTTAATTAGGAATTACTTTCGAAAGATAATTTCTAATCCCAATTTTGACTGCTCTTTATTTTTGAAGTCCCTGAAACACATTGTTTTGTGTATTTTCCAATTCTACCATATAATGTCACTAGCTATGAAGATTAAATTCTTTTTAGTTAGTTAGTGCCAATTTTTTTTTCCCTAGGTTTTTTTCTGCTGCTGTTTCTTGCCCAGTCACTGTTTGACCAGAAGGGCAAACACATGGTTTTCATTTTCTTTTATTTGATTCAAGCCCATTTTACTTCCCAGAGTCATTTATTGGAATGCTTAATTTAACTGCCAGACCAGTAAACAGATATGCTGTTTTCAGATACTTTTGATAATAGATCTGTCATTCTCTTTGGAAGGCTAGCTGTTGTGCTAAGTTTCTTTGGGTTATCCTAAATTATCTAAATGGGCTCTCTGCTGAATTCAATGTGCGAAATACTTGGTTTTAATTCTATGCTCTTTTGAAAACAAAATTCTCTTTTCTTTTGTTATGAGATTGCCATAAAGTAAAATTCATGAGTTTAATGTGCAGTTGATGGTTTCTGTTATTGTATATTACCATGCAGCAACCACTAGATCAAGATATAAAATAGATCCCTCTGCCAAAATATTTCCTTATGCTTCTTTGCATTCCACTTCCTTCCTCACCCATGGCCCTGGGCAGTCTCTGAGATGCTGCCATGAGGATTCTGCCTTTTCTAGAATTTTATTTAAATGGAATCATACAGTATGTAGATTTTTGTGTTTGACTTCTTTTACTTAGCATAATGTTTTCAAGTTTCACTGACAATTTTTGTTACTGAGGAATATTCTAAATTCCTAGAATATTCATATTCTATGATATACAACCTTACTTTAAATTTATTCATATTCTACGATATACCACCTTTTTAAAAAATCTATTTACCACTTGATGGATATTTGGGTTGCTTCCAGTTTGGGGCTATTCTGAATAACAGCTGTACATATTTGGAAATTAGGGATAATTGACACGTACAATTTTGTGTGGACACATATTTTCATATTCTGTGGCCACTTACACATTTAACTGTATAAGGTACGGCCATATTGTCCTTGAATGTGGCTGTTCCATCTTCCATTGTTACCAGCGATAACATTAGAAAGGGTATTTCTGCTTACTGTGGTTGCTCTTATCTTGCCCATCTATATCCCTCAGAGATTTCTAAGTTCTTCCACATCTTTGTCAGCACTTGGTGTTGTCAGTCTTTTGAATTTTGGCCATTCTAGTGGGTATATGTGATTTTTCAAATTTGCATTTATCTGGTGCCTAGTAATGTTCAGCTTTTTTTTCAGGTGCTTGTTGGCTGTGCACATATCTTGTTTTGTGAAATATCTGTTGAAATCATTTTTTCCTTTTTAAATTGGGTGTTTGTGTTTTTAATTATTGAATTGCAAAGATTCTGTATACAATAAGGATAATGCCCTTTTTAAAATACATGCTTTCTGGTGATTCACAGACCTGTACCCCTGGGGCTAATAATACATTATATGTTTATAAAAAAATTATAAAAAAAGTACATGTTTTGCCGAACTTTTTTTCTAGTCTGTTAGTTGCCTTTTTTTTTTAAACTATGTCTTTTGAAGAGCAAACTTTCTTATCCTTGATGTAGTCCATTTTTATCAGTTTATCCCTTATAGTTTGCGCTTTTGGTGTCCTGTTTTAAGAAATCTTTGCCTAACTATATGCCACAGACTTTCTTTTTCATACTCTAAGTAATAGTTGTAGCTCTCACATTTCATGATGATTTATAAGTTAACTTTTAGGTATGCTGTGCCCCATTTTCTCTTTCCTTTCCTTCTGATATTTCAATTACACATATATTTAACCTTTTAATATCATCTAAGAGATCCTCAAGATGCTATTTTAAAAGATATTTTTATTTAAATCCAATTTAATTAACATGTAGTATATTATTAGTTTCAGAAGTAGAGGTCAGTGTTTCATCAGTTGCATGTAACCCAGCGCTCATCACACCACGTGCCTCCCTTAATGCCCATCACCCACTTACCCCATCCCCCCACCACCTTCCCTTCCAGCAACCCTCAGTTTGTTTCCTATAGGTAGGAGTCTCTTATGGTTTTTCCTCCCTCTCTCATTTCACCAAGACTAATTTTTAGATAATTTTTTAAAATCTCTGTTCTTCACTATGGATAATTTCTATTGATCTAATTCAGATTCATTTGTTCTTTCCTCTGTCATGTCAATTTGACTGTTAAGTCTATCCAGGTAATATTTTGTTTTAGAAATTCTCTATTTTAGTTCTAAATTTTCTATTTTCTTCCTTTTTATTATATTTATTTTTCTGCTGAGACTTCCCACTACTCTGCATTAAAGATGCTTTGTTTAATATACAAACCTCAGGTAATTA